ATGCTCTTCCCCTCAAATAAGACAGTTCTGTTTAGTCACAAAGCCGTTCAAATGGAAGTGCGCCTCATCACTAAAGATAATTTTGTTGTGGAATGCATCGTCAACTCTGTGTTGTTCCAATATCCAATTCGCAAAGTTTCTGCGCTATCTATGATCAGCTGGCTTCAGCTCTTGCGTTAACTGTATTTTGTAAGGATTAAGATGCAAATTCTTTGTCAAAATTCGTATTATGTACACCGAAATGTTCACGTAACCTGCAAATTGTCACTGTAAAATTTTTCCCATTTCTGTAATGGGTCTTCACAACTAATAAACGTTATTCAAGAGTGTAACGCGGCATTTTCGTTAATGTCAATGTTTTGACAGAACACATGCCTAATATTGCCCACTTGATGTTTGACAGACGAAAATGGCGAGCGATTCCAAATTTAAGTTCTTATTGGGACACCCTTTATTAGTTTTTCAGATAAGTAACATGTAATTCATTTAAAATAAGAATTGTGTTCATGCATTACGAAGAGATTATAGTTGGTAAATTGGCTCAAATACAGGCGTTAACTAAAATATATTTATGAACTTTGAGAATAAGGGTGTGTACATGCCGAAGATGCCTCGATGAGCGATGAACGATGAGGATGATCGATGGGCGATGTAATAATAAATGTACTATTTTAAATGAGAGTGTACATATCAAAGTTAAGGCACACCCTCGCACCATACATTTGTAGTATTACATCGATTGACATTCACTTAACCATCGCCTATTGGTCATCGAACATCGAGGCATTTTCGGCATGTACACACTCTACGATGTAGATTGAACGAAAATTATCAAGTTTGCATACCGTTTGAGTATTTTTTTCATACAAAAAAAGAAAGCTCTACGGTACTGATATTTCGTACCAGTGCCTTGCCAAAATCCTACATCATAATCCACTTTACTTGGTTTAGTTATTTTACTGGTTCAATTCGGTAAATGTAACTTTATTAAGCACATTTCATTTTTTCGCGTAAGTCTCGGCGTAAGTATATATGCGGCAAATGAGAGGCCAAATGCCAAATTATTTGTGTAATAATTCCGAAATAAATTCCAGAGTTAAAGAGATAAAGAAAAATTGAAAAATTGTTTTGAAACGGTTAATTTGAGCACAAGATTCGATCTCAAGTTTATCGGAACTTTTTCCAATTTTGTAATTATTTTCTAGCCAAATTATTTTGTGCTACCAATTCAAATGACCCGATGGGTCATCCACTAGTCGCATTACTGGTACAAATTCATTTGCATTACCCTGAATTAGGCTGGAGTACTCTCGCATTACCTTCCATTAACTCATTTTTTTATGGAAGGGATGTAAAAACAACCTGGTTCTAGAAGCTGTCACGTAAATAAGTACATCAAGTTATAAAAACTGTGGTCTTAAGACGCTGATTGTAGACTAAGATGGAGATAATCTTTTCCATTCGGTTTAACAATAAAAATTTTATCAGGGGTTAACAAAATGTATTTTTGTAAAATAACTTAATGTATCATCCAACAAATTTTAAGTACTCATGTTGGTTCTTGCGAGAGTTTGAGGCAAGATTAGTTTTTGTATGGTTTATTCTGGCGTGCTCAAACGATATCGATGTTTTAAGAGCCTAACACCGAGCCTAACACTGATCTGTGGCGGCTAATGCCGAGGGGCACAGGGTCACGCGACCCCCAATTATCAAAGAAAAAAAATAATGAAAAAGATTAACAAAAACTCTGAAGTCTACTTAAGTTGAAACCATATGGAACTTTTTTTATTATTGGTTTCGTGAAAAAATGTGTTCGTGATAAAAAGTTCTGCATGGCCCAAAACTTAAAATGCAACCATCATTTTTTAAGCCATATACGAGGTTTGTCAAAAATTATGAATTTTACTCAAGAGTAAAGTACCTTATTTTTTACAATACAGAAGAATGTTATTAAGTAAAGTTACTTTGAATTAAAAGTTATATTCAAATATGGAATTACAGTCCTTTAGCATAAAAATTCAGGTTAGGTGATTATTTATGTTTTACACGAGGTTTTTTACATTATAAATTATTGGTAGTCATAAATTAAATAATCACCAAACCTGAATTTTAAAGCTAATTGGCTAGTTGCATATTTGAATATAACTTTTAATTCAAAATAACTTTATAACATTCTTCTGTATTGTAAAAAATAAAGGTACTTCACTCTTTATTAAAATTCATATTTTTTGACAAACCTCGTACCTATACGGATAAAAAAATTTGATATCTGATGATTGAAATTTAAGTTTTGCACCATGCAGAACTTTTTATCAAGAATATTTTTTTTACAAAACCAATAATAAATAAGTTTTCCACGAGTAGTTGTCAAGTTGTAGATGATTTAATTTAGCCGAAATCAGTTGCGGAACAACTGTTGCCTAGGGACACTTGTCATTGTAACAACTAAACAAAAACTCAAATTGAAAAAAAATCATACTTGCCAAATTATAGATGGTATTGTAACGTTTTTTAAATTTATTTATACTTAGTTTATTTATTTAAAACACACTATTTACAATTTATTTATTTAAATAACACTATTTACAATTTATTTGACATATGGCGTATACAATTCTTGACAGCATCATATAATATATCTGAATTACACTGCATTACTCTGAATTACGTGGTATTACACAGAATGCAGATGAAATTTACATTACTGGTACAAATTTCCAATTAGTGGATGACCCCTCGAAATGACCGTATAAGTAAAAATTGAGTCTATCTACAATTCAACACATATAATTGACGATAATTGCATTTAGAAGAAAGTCGTAAGAATAAAATACATACATATGGAATAATCCACAAAAAAATGTCTCTAAAGCAGGCCTTTAAAAAATTCACGCATGTCGGAGCGTATTTTTTTTATTATTTCCAAGTGTCAGTTTGGATTTAATTCAGAGCCGTGTACAGTTATCATTATCACGGACATGACTCGAAACTTTGGCGGTTATGAAATAGTTTAAAAACATTTTTTGTGAATCACTATTATTATTGCACTTAGCCAATTTATTGTTGGTGGATAACTACTCGTATATTATTTGGTGGAAGAACCATGAGGCGCTAGCTAGATGCAAAATATATGCGATTCTTGAATCATTATAAAAAATACCTAATCATACTGTAGGTGGTGAGTGGAACAATTCTCCATTATTATGAGCTCTCTTTTCGCGACTAGACACATTTCTTGATCACAGTGTACCTACCTAGACAGGAAGGAGGCGGCTTATTAATTCATGCCTTTAATTTACTTAGATGGCAAAATTGTTTAGGTAATCTTTTTTAGTTTTATTTCTGTAAAGAAGAGTTTACCAAGGTTTTAACAGTGATGATAACCAAAGTTGGCTCAGAAAAAATTTAATGGCTCCAGGCCGCACAGGTTAGGATATTTTATTTAAGTTTTTCTTCTCGTTTTATGTATAATTTTCTTTAGACCGTGACCGAGTTCAGATGTCGACTTTAATTAACCCTTTACGGATGTCAATGGCGGACAGGAATCGAGTTTGTGATTAAGGAGCATTAAATAGACAGATATTTTTAGGACAATATTAACCAATATCATAAACAATTCAGGTATAACTCAACCCTTAGTGCCATTTAATATTTGTTAGGGTTGATAATGAGGGGAAAGGGTGAAAAGTGGTTAAAAAATGTTTTGCAGCAGAAAGTATTTGAAAATAAAATTTGTCCTAATAAAATTTCAGAGACGCTGAATTTATTCCATTATCATTCTTCGTAATGTGGGTAGGTATGTGGTATAAGGAAAATAAATAATAACACTTTGCTGATAGTCATCAAATACATAAATATGCGGGGTGTGTCATCCTCAAGGATGTTAAATATTCTTTATTTGTCTAAACAATGACATAGAAAACATATGCTTTCCATTTTTGCCATCTTTTGCACAAGGTGTGTCAGGTTCCATAATAATTATGTGTACACTTATCGGAATAAAGTAACATCATAAATAATAAAAACAATACTTAGTTTAAAATAAATACGTCAATATAAGTCGTAACCGGCATTACTACTGCATTACTATCAAGCGATATTTTGAATGAATATTAGAAATACCTTTCTTTAAAATGAAAATATTAAAGGTCCCGTATAGGTAATTATTATATCCAGGTGGGTTTGCTTAACGTTTAAAATGGAATAGACAGCTGGTCGAGAAGAGCAGACTGCAAATGCTTAAAAATTGTTGTAATAGGGTACTTAACAAATTAACGTAGGTAGGTATCCCGAAAACGAATTAATTGAATTATTTGAATCTCTTAATACTTCTTGTTACAAATTTTTTGGGATTCATAGATATATAGTAAATGTAAATAATTATTATAAAAATGTATTTTAAACTCGGCTAGGAAAAACATATTTTTGTGTATGAACGTAAGTATTTTTATTTTGATTCAGGTCAAAGTTTACAGTTAGGGCAGAAGTTCTTATTATAATGTCTAAGTACGTATATAGTACCTAGTACCTACGCATTTTTTTAAATTTTTTTGGTAACTACGGAATATCTCTAAGATTATTTATTTTATTTTGGAGTTATTAACGATATCGGACGGCATTGACATATAGTATTTAGTTAATCATCCGGTATGATTATATTTGCCTAAGTAGGTAGTGCCTAGTTTTTAAAAAAGTAATTAGGGATTTCAGCCGTGCGCGAATAGGTGGTTCACCCTGTGCGACAATTTTACCGCTCTTACGAATGTATATTTAGAATCCAACGTTATTAAAACCAGCCGGTTTTCCCATACAATAAAATACATGCTTTAAAGTAGGTACGTAAACTTCGTTCTATCGGTCAAAACCAAAACACTAGTGTTACCAGTTTACATAACACTTCTTGTTTCTTCCTTTTAAGGTTATAATATAGCAAAATTATAGTTTAGTCTGTTATAGGTAATTATTCGAGTAATTTTGTGAATCAGATGTGAATGTTTTACCTGTTTTCCCGTTCTGGGCAGAGTTTCCATGTTGGTCCCATTGACCACTGGGGCTTTTTCTTGGGTAACACCCCCATTTGCGGTGCTCCCGTTGCCCAAAGCCATTGTAAATCAAACAAAACACGCAATAACACTTAAAAGAAAACACAATAAACAAACATTGAGTTTTATTTTTCGATTTATAGCATTTTTTACACTTTTCACTGGGTTCCGACAACAATTTTAGCAGATACCGACCGTATCACATCTGACAACAACTTCCAAATGATGTTTTTTGCCACTGTTCATTATTCTTGACCTGATTTAATATGGACTTATTTTATTATAGCTATCTTTGTTTGCATTATGAATCTAAAGTAGGCAACGGCATGTCTTAGATTATTGCGGTAGGGTATAATAATGGTAAAATGCGCAAGTGTTTGAATGTCAGCGCTTCTCAACATATTTAACTGTTTGTACTTCTCTCACTGTATTTATGTCGCTATCCTAGTAGGTAGGCCACCAACTATACACGTGCACTATAAACGCTGGTAACTGATATTTATACAACCTATAATAGTCTTAGCGATATCGTAGGTTACATATCTGATAGGAACACTGATGTTACAACAACATATATCAGAGTCAATAACAAATAATAATACAATTTGTATAAATGGAACGATATTTTCAGAAGTGGTGTAGCTCAGTGCTACACTTTCGATGCAAAGGAAAAGACCTAATATAAACATAGTGAATAGTAAATACGAGTGACGAAAATAAATTTTTTTAAAGCTAGAGAACAATTCGGGAGCTTAAAAAGTTATTTTTGACAAGTAAAAGACAGTTCTTTTTCTACGAACTTCATTATATCATCTATCTACTTGATTAAAAAAAATAAAAAAATAAGTTTATAGGTACCTATTAGAAACTACAAAAAAAACAACTTAACTATTAGTACCTATATAAATTATATAAATGAATTATTGTGGAAAAGTTATTTTACATTTATACGGTTATCATAATTCAGGTTTCTGAAATGTTAATGTTATATAATACCTATAACATTTTGTTTTTGTTTACTAAGCATTTACTAACCTCGTCGGCTATAAGGGTCGCCTTTTTGGATGTTTTCTTTGCAGTAGAACTGACCATAGAAGATACTGAAACTGTTCTTCAATTTTCGTAATACTGCCGATACTGTTATTAAGCGTTTTTATCAGAGCAATACACCTCTTTCGACACAGATTTACTACTTTCATTTTGCGTAGGTACTTTATCTTTGAAATCAATGAAGTTTGATCATCAGAAGGCCACAACTTAGGATCCTTCAATAGAAAGAAGTATAATTTTCTTTTTCGTTTGTAAGGAAGATGTCAGAGAGTTATGTTGTTCGCTGTGAAGTGTGCATCCACACGAATCTCATACTTGAACGATTGAGCCTTATAGCCTTTCATGGCGGCTGTAGATTTTTAACCATCTTAATTTTGGTGGCGTCACGGATACGGGAATTAAAGAGAGCCAGGCACACAAACAAATGTTCATAAACGAACCAAGTGGCGTTGAAATGTTACTAAAACATTCATAACATTCATAACAGCTTTCTGAGCCTCGGGTGCCTCATTTCAATGTCGACCATGGATGAGGGTTACGAACTAATTTACTTCAGTAATTATCTTTCTTCTCCAGATGTAAGGGTAAACTGATCTTTGAATAAATATCTTTTGCTATCCAACGTGCGTTATGCAAACCATCTGGGGCTCGGAATTTTACTTTTGACCCTGGGATTGTACCTCCAAGAAAGACATTATATATAACTGATACTGTTGGCAGTATAATAACGAAACATGTCGTTTGGTCATTGTAGTCGTACATATCATTTTTGCTTTGAGTATTGAGTCTTGAACCATGAAAATATATTTCCTTGTCAATCTGAGGTCAGTGTTTCTTGAAAAGCTTAAATATAGCAGCATCTGGACCCCACTCACTCTAAATCCCAGCAAACACACATACGTACATAAGACGTACTATGTACGTACTGATGGGACGTAAAGTACGTACCATGTACGTACTTTACTGTACGAAGTACGTACATAGTACGTACATAATACGTACATTTTCCAAACGACGGTACGTACCTAGTACGTACTTAAAGTACGTACTCTGTACGTACCTAATGTATGTACTCTGTACGTACCTAATGTACGTACTCTGTACGTACCTAATGTACGTACTGTGTACGTACTTAATGTACATACTATGTACGTACTATGTTTGTACTTATTCCAATAGAGTACATATTCTAGACGTTCTTTTCATCCTTATTGGTACTTACTTATGATGTAAAATGTACATATTAGTACAATACAAAAAAAAGTAAACAGGTTAATTTGTATTTTTTAATTTTTTACATTAAAAGAATAATTTAAATTGTTTTGCTGTTTTTTTAAAGTTTTTAGACTATCATTAGCTCTTCTTAGCCATCTCACAATTTCCTGTTCTGCAACCTTCTTCTCTTTGCATTTGCTACTTTTTACAGCACCTTCTGCAAAGAAATAATATCAAATTAGAAACTCAACTTGGGTACTTTTTATACTAAGTAATATAATAAAAATAATATAAAAGATGTAAAGTAAGCGATAGTTTCTACGGCTCAAAATTATCATTGTCAATATACTCCTGGATCTAAACCTCTCTAATTTGTATCCACCTCTTTTGGCCTTATGCCTTTGAAATCCAATTTGTTCCTGACACTACTCTATAATATCGGAACTCCTATAATTCTTTTTTTTTAATGCAAGGACTTTATGAAAACTGGCATACAAAAATAAAAAATCAAAACATCTTACCCACTACAACTGCAGCCAATCATAATTTGTTGCCAGCTGATTATAGTTATTAAGGTAGCAGCCATACTCCTTTTGACAAAATCCAAAATTAAATAATTAGGGTCTGTAAAATATCACTTCTATTGTCCTCCTGTTTATTCATTTCCTTAAACTTTTTCGTTTTTATGTAGCATTTTTGTAAATGCGATGGGATCACATATCTATAAATTATATTTATTACACATAATTTTTTTAAATTAAAATGAAACCACTCACCAGAATAAAATGACAAAACTATGTACTTATAACACGCACTAAAAAGTCTAAAAGTCTTAAGAACTGTCTTGTTCAATTATAATAAATTATACGCAATTATTTATTTAAAGAAACACTTAATAGTTCAATTCTTAAACATAAAAAAACTAACAATAACAAACTGTTGAAACCGTTGAAACGTGGTTGCTTGCAACTTGTAACACTTAAAAAAACGAGCGAGTTTAGTTTAGCGTTTATATTAGGTTAAATAAAATGTGTTTCTTCTTTGCATTTTTGCCTTTTTGGCCTACGGTCAACAGAAATTTGGTAAAAACTTAGGTTTTTCAATAAAATAGGTATGCAACCAGGATTACGTACACTTAGGTACGTACTTAGTACGTATTTTCCTGTACGTACAGGTACGTACTATTATGTACGTACATAAAACGTACATTTTACGTCCTGTACGTACTGTACCAAAACTGTACGTACTTAAGACGTACTGTGCTGTTTGGGATAGCTGTGCTAAAAACATTCAAGATCACAATTTCAAGTACATGGTATCTAGTTTAAATCCACACAAGACCACATAAACCTCTCTTCAAGAATAGCATATATGCTCCACTCTTCAAGCCTGTATTGTCAGATATTACACGGACATTTTTTCTCAGGATCCAATCATCCAAAGCAGTAGTTTTTTCCTGGACTTTGAGAAACGAAAAATAAAATTTTAAAACATTTAATTCATAGGGACACCCCTAAACATTCTAAAACCGATCCAAATTTTAGTTTGGTATTTCGCTTTGCATAGTGAAAAAAGGGCAGCAATGTGCAGATAAATATTTTTTGCTACGACCACTTAGGAAAGTGACACATATCACACTATATAGTCATATGGAAAGTGCCCTATATCACACGCGTATGAAGAAGAATTTACTTTCCACTCGAGTGAGAATAAGTTACTTTCCGCAGGCAGTAGTTGTCACAAAATGTCAAACACCTAATTTCTATTTTGATCTATGTAATGTCCATATTAATACTAAAATCAATATGATTGTTAAATTATTGAAATCGTTGTAAATTAGATCCTAGATAGGTATTTATCTTTAACAATTATTATTAAAATAATTTTAAAATAATGTTTGCTCTTTATTCTGGATAAATATATAACCGATAAGATCATTCAATTGACACAAGGGCTATTAGCTCAGGTGATTAGGACGTCGAACTTATCAACTTTGCCATTTTTCGACCGCTTTCGAATCCTGGCGGGGCAGAATTTTTTTGTTTTTTTTTTATTTTTTTTTTTTTTAGTTTTTTTTGTTTAGAAAATATAAAAATTGAATATTATACATCACTTGTGTGAAAAGTGATTTTCCACACTCGTATGATAGTCGCACTCGGCTTGTGCCTTGTGCGACAATTTCCCACTCGTGTGAAAAATTTCACTTTCCACACTCGTAATGTAATATACTATATACTATTTTCTACACCTACATGGATATTAGCTTATCTACGCACAAATTACAGAACGAAAAAGTATGCTACTGCCTTCAACTGAAAGAATATATTTCATATCCATTCTAGGTAGTGGGAACACTGCAAAAAAATTAAATCCACCAATCACCGTTCGACCGACTGCTTTTTTTGGTGTGTCATTGGCTTCAACTACTCTGGTTATTTCGCTTCGTGTTCTGTGTAGGCTTTGTTACTGTTTTCCAGCGCCACTTTAGGAACAGCACTGTTAATTAGAACCCTACAGTGAATGGTCGAGTGGGGAATCCTACCAAGGCATCAGACTTAATTTTAAATAATTAAATTAAATAAAAAAATCCCGGATAACGGTGTGATTTGAACCTGGGACCCTTAGATCCGCAGGCAGAGACTCTACCACTGAGCCACCCACCCCCTATTATTTTTAAAATTTTAAATAGGTAAGTGACAATTCTGTCAAACTAATTGTTAGTA